TATATATATATATTGTAACATTCGAAGAAGTGATCTTAACCGTCCCCTAAAAAGCTACATTTGGCAATAAAGCAACGGAAAAACCAAATTACATTCAGAAAAGCATTGAATACACAGAGCAGATCTCACAAGAAAATTTGTTGATTAAAGGGTAAAAAAAAAAGATAATTGTGCGTGTGAGGAAAGACGGATGGAGAATAGTTCTTACATCTCAAACACTTAAATAGTTAAATGAAGCCCTACTATTTAAGAAGATATATCACCCAATACTTATGTCCTTACATCTCAAACACTTGAAAAGTACTTTGTTGTTGTTGTTGTATTCATTAAATAAACTTATATACAGCATCTGTATGACATGCCTTCATTTGGTCTGATTTTTCGGTAGTAAAAGTATTCTCCAGCCGTCTTTCCTCACACGTAGAATTATCTTTTTTCTTTTTTTTTTAACCCTTTAATCAACAGTTTTTCCTATGAGTTCTGCTCTGTGTATTCACTGCTTTCCTTGAATGTAATTCAGTTTTTTCCGTTGCTTTATTGCCAAATTGAGCTTTCTAGGGGAAGGTTAAGATCACTTTTTCGAATGTTACAATATATATATATGGAACAATTACGTACATAGTACTCAAAACATTGTTATTTACAAATCTAGCTCCCCCTTTCATCCATTTTTAAATTCTCACCCGAATACCAAAATTCATGATAGAACTCCAACCCATATTTTTTATTTATATTAAATTCTCAATGTTTTGATCGTAGCAATGTTCAGTATTTTAAAAATATTATTTCGGTGTTAGATATTGTGCCTAACAATATTTCTGGTGCTATATGTGTAATTATCCTTAATATATTTAATTAATTTTAAAATATTCAAAATAATTTTTTATGTAACGTTTAGGTATTGACAGCCCTCATAGATATGTAATGAAGGCACCGGTTTATCCACAAATGATTGGAAAAGCTAAAATATAAAAAGTAACGTTTAGGGGTTAGAGATGTAAAAACTTAGTTATTGGGTGATATGTGCGCAATATCTTCTTAAATAGTGGGGTTTTATTTAATTATGTCCCGTCATTCTATTTTTTAAGATAAAAACAAAAATGACATAAAAAAAGGTCAATTGCATGAAAAAACACCTCAAACATTGTTATTTACAAATCAAACACCCACCCGTTCGCATGCAGGCTCCAATTAAATTTTGCCACGAAGATCTAATTTAAAATATTATCTTCTCTTCTAAAATGGTGTGAAGCCTAAAGCACGAAGGCCATCCCATTAATAATTTTGCACGGCAGAAGTAAATGGACGATTTTTACTTGGCAAAAGTAAGAAAATAATTTTTGTGCAGCAAAAAATAATTTTTTTTTTTTTACAAAACGAGCCATAAACTAAAGAAATGAAAAAAATATTCAAATTAGTAATACGTGAAACTCATACGACAACTTGAAAAGCTAAAATATACAGATAGTTCAATGACAAACACTTCACCCACAACAAGCAAAAAGTAGAAAACACTCTTAGTAAAGATTGCTCTCCGATCCAGACAAGCCTTCTGGAAACCACAGGGCGATCTCTTTTCTCGCACTCTCAATTGAATCACTTCCATGTATTACATTCCTGCAGTAACAGGCAAAAAAAAAGAGTAAAAAACTTACGAGCATAAGAGGAAAAAGAAAGAGAAAGTTAAATAATCACCTCCCAATTTCAATTGCATAATCGGCCCGAATAGTACCAGGTTCCCATTTAGTAGGATCAGAAGCCCCAATAATCTTTCGGCATTTCACAATAACATTATTGCCCTCCCAAACCATGGCCACCACAGGGCCAGATGTGATGTCCCCCACAAGTGCAGGGAAGTAGTGTGTTCCCGCCAAATCCTCGTAGTGCTTCTCCGCAATGGACCGCTCCACTTTTAAAAACTTCAACCCTAAAATTCAATTCAAATGGATGATCACTTGTGGCTACAAAATATATAAACACAAAATAGTTGATATGCAAGGGGATTTGATAGAAAACCAAATACCTTTCAGATAGAAACCGTTACATTGGAAGCGTCCGATTATCTCAGTAATCTGATGAGATGCGGGATGTATAGATTTGAGTAGTTCAACTTGAAGATGAGAGGAAAATTAGAGAAAGAAAATGTGGATGGATAGATTATCAGGTTTCGATGGACGCCATCAGGCTTGATCATGATGAAAGTCTGCTCCATCTTAATTGTTTCACTGGGTTAGATCTATCTTCGGTTCAATCAAGGGAGGGATGGGGTTTCTATATATAGGCAAAGTTCTATCTACGAGTGGCTCTTACTATTTTTGGAAAGGAAAATTTGACAAATTCCAAATAATTCCACTTCTTAAAAGGTTGCTCTTATTTTTGGAAAGAAGGCCGTTTTTAATTTTGGAAGCTGTTCTTGTTTTTGGAAGCTGCTGTTATTTTTGGAAGCGAATTTTGAAAAATATTAAATTGGATAAATTCAAATTTATTTTGCATTGTAAATAATGCGCTGAAAGACTAACAAAGCCTAACAAATTGAGCTGAGTCAACTGAACCCTACCAACCAGGATAATCGACCGAGCCAAGCTGGCCCAACTACTCGAGCGGAGATTACTGAGCCAAGAAATTACTAGATATGAGTCGACATATACCAAAAAAACTAACGTACCCATTGTAAGCCCCGTCCAAATGAAGACAAAATTATAATATCACTAGTGTACTAAATCCTATATGTACATAGCATTTAATGAAAAACGTTTCTGTACAATTATCTCCAAAATTATGAAACCAAGAAAATATAATTTACTTAATTTATTTTTCTTAAAATCATTTTCATTATGTTTTTGGAGGATTTACATAAATACCGCTCCATTCTCATCTTTTTAATTATATAACATTTAAATTTGTTTTAGAAATAAATTAATTTTCAAATATTTAAAATAATTTTAGATATTTAAAGTTGTTTTAGAAATAAATTATTTTATTGTTGAAAACCAAATATAAAAGCTCGTAGAAAAATAAATTAAATAAACATATTTTTAAGATCAAAACAAAAATGACATAAAAAAGGTCAATTATACAAAAAAAAAAACACCCGAAACATTGCTATTTACAAATCAAACACCCAATCGTTCACATGCAAGACTCCAAACCACGAAAAAAAAAAAAGCAAACTTCACCCATAACAAGCAAAAAGTAGAGAACACTCCTAGTAAAGATTGCTCTCGGATCCGGATAGGCCTTCTGGAAACCACAGAGCGATCTCTTTCCTTGCACTCTCAATTGAATCACTTCTATGTATTACATTCCTGCAGTAACAGACAACAAAAATAAAAATAAAAAACTTACGAGCATAAGAGGAAAACGAAAAAGGAAGTTAAATAATCACCTCCCAATTTCAATTGCATAATCGGCCCGAACAGTACCAGGTTCCCATCCAGGTTCCCATTTAGAAGGATCATCCCATTTAGAAGGATCAGAAGCCCCAATAATCTTCCGGCATTTCACAATAACATTGTCGCCCTCCCAAATCATGGCCACCACAGGGCTAGATGTGATGTCCCCCACAAGCGCAGGGAAGTAGTGTTTTCCCGCCAAATCCTCGTAGTGCTTCTCCGCAATGGACCGCTCCACTTTTAAGAACTTCAAACCTAAAATTCAATTCAAATGGATGATCAATTGTCACTACAAAATATATAAACAAAAAAGAGTTGATGCAGGGGGATTTGACAGAAAAACCAAATACCTTTCAGACAGAAACCGCTGCATTCGAAGCGTCCCATTATCTCAGTAATCTGATGAGATGCGGGATATATAAATTTGAGTAGTTCAACTTGAACATGAGAGGAAAATTAGAGAAAGAAAATGTGGATTGATAGATTACCAGGTTTCGATGGACGCCATCAGGCTTGATCATGATGAATGTCTGCTCCATCTTAATTGTTTCACTGGGTTAGATCTATCTCCGGTTCAATCAAGGGAGGGATGGGGTTTCTATATATATATAATTGTTTCACTAAGTTCTATCTATCTCCAGTTTCAATTACGTGCTTTGCTAAATAATTTAATTTTTTGTCATCTGAATCTATAATAACAATAGTAATAATAAGAATAATATTCATAATTAGTAGAATAATCTGCATCATTTTTATTTTAATAGATGGTGCTTTAAAATGTTATCCGTTAAGCGCTTATTGATTAGATTCAACAGCCATTTGGAATAATTTTATTTTTTTTTTTTTTTTATTTTTTATTTTAATTTTAAATAAAATATATTTTATTTTTAAATAAAATATTTGCATTATAATATGATGAATTTATTTAATAAAATAATCTTGCTTTTGTCCTTTAATATTTGCATGCACATATAACTAGAGAAAATTAATCTATTTAATCAAACTCATTAAAATTTAATTAGAATAAACTTCATAATTCTTAAGAGGCTGCTTCTAATAATCTTGCTTTTATTTAATTAATTTTTACGTTGACTTTGAAATTTTATTAGGGGGGAAGTATTCAATTTGCAAGGGAGCAAAAGTTCCCAAGCATAGTGTTTAGGAATAACATCGCGCCAGAATTTCATAATCGAACTATCAACTAATAAGACACTTTCTTCTCCCCCATCTAGAACGTTGATGACTAAGCCAGCAGAGGTGGTCATTTTAGTCTCAGTTAGTGCAATGTCGCCACTCTGACAAGCTGGTGGACTGGCGGTTGTCATTGGCGTTGGGACTGCTGATTTATCCTCCTTAGACCTTAATGTCATTTGTTAGATATTGCTCGTATACTAGATAAGAGATAGATGCTGGAGTGGAGCAGAAGCATTTGTCTAATCAGGGGAAGTTTCGTTATTTGTAATTACATTTTGTACGTCAGGGTGTATATATATATATATATATATAAGTCTTGTTTGTAACCCTAGGTAATTGTACTCTTTTTTCTAAATTGAAAGAAAAGCTGCCGCTCTGCTCCCGAGGATGTAGGCAAATTGTTGAACCTCGTTAAATCTTTATTTTTTGTTCTTCATATGTGTCGATTCTTGTGCTTCTTTGGCCTAAAATTCTCAACAAGTGGTAAAAGAACGAGGTTCTAGGGCAGAAAAGTTCGCGTAGCAAGGAGGAAGAAGGATTCAGCGAATTCCACAGCGGAGTTCGGCAAATTCGACAAGGGCTTCAGCGATTTGATGCAGGAAGCATGTTATTTTTAGTTTTAATTCTTGTCAATATTTATATATGATGCTAAAATGTTTTATTTTTTTAAAAATTCAGGTTGGGGGAGGGAAGTTATATTAGGGAAGTAAAATTTTGAATATAGAAATGAGTAAAACAATTTAGTTAAAATTTATAGTAATGAAGAAAAACTTAAAGTTAAAAATTTTTATTGTGGAAAATCCTAAGTATAGTGTAACTATCTTTAGTAAGAAAAATTGTATTTTTGAAAAATTTAGAAGATTTAAACTTTTATTTTCAAAACTTAAATTTTTTTTATTGAAAGTAATTTTCAAAAACTATTATTATGTTTTTAAGTAAGGGAGATATATCAACTCTTTGCTTTAGGAAAGGAAGGATGGAATTCAAAATCATTAAAGGCCTATCCAGATAAAGTAATCATTGCCTGAAAAGAGAAAAATAAAAAGAAAAAGAAAAAAATGAAAAAAAGAAAAAGAAAAAGAAAAGAAAATATAAAAATGGAGAAGAAGCTTGTGGATTAGTGTCTAATCATAAATTTGTTCCACTTCTGATCTTTCTAAAGCATAAGATTTGAGAAACTCTTAAGCTTAAGGATATAATATGGTAAGTAAAATTATGCTTAATAATTTTTATAAGTGGAGATTATAAAATGCCTAAACTCTATATTTGGATAATCTACAGTATTTCTGAATTAGATAGAAACTCATATTTTCATGTCTTAACATTAAATATTTCTAAACATTAAATTGGTCTCATTTACTTATATTTTTCTAAATTGGACTACTGTATTTCTATATCCAAATTTTAGTAACTGCTAAAGCAACTCATATACATCATCAACTTATTTAATTTTTAAAAGATTGAAGGGTCACTTGAGGATAATTAACATTTTAAGTTTGAGAGATTTTGATACACCTAAATATATAGTCTTTATGTATACATTTTTAATGAAAGGTATTTATGTGTTTTTTTCAGGTACAATCAAATGGATGAAAAATGATAAAAGGAGTGAAAATGGATCAAATTTGCGCTAAAAGAAGTGAAAATGGTCAAATTTGGTGAAAAATGACGAGGGAGCAAAAATGAACTGGGGTGCCTAAGTGTCAGTTATTCAGAGAGAGCCGCGCCTAAAAAAAAGGTACCCTGCCCTTAAGTGCCAAGAGTAGTTATTTGATGATTTACTTAATTTGAACAAATTTTTTAAGAGGTGTTTGAAGCAACCCTTAGTAAAATCGTGAGAATTAGTCAATGGACACCAAAATTCATTTAATTGGCTTTTGAAAGGAGGAACTTCTAGAAGATTCATTGATTGGAAACACACTTTGAAGAGACACCAAGACACCTATTGAATTTTCATAAAAAAAGACTTGGATCATCACAGAAGAGAGGTCTGCCATGAGATATCCATAGTTACCATTCATCTTAGTAACTGTCGCCGCCACCGCCATCACCGCCGCCACCGTCCACTTTTTTTTTTGAGTGTTAGTTTGTATTATGAGTGAATGAAGAGAATTCAAAGAAACTTCAAGACATTTGGTGGTTAGGATTTGATATAAGTGTTTATCTTTGTGACTACATTTGGTTTTAATTTAGATTTCTTGTTTGTGTGCATGATTTCTACTTTTAAAATGATGTGTAATTATGTTTTCTCTATAGATTTTGAGTAGTTTTTTTATCTTTTTTCTTTAAAATCATAAGTAATTAAATATTTAAAGGAAGTTGTGTGAAGTATTAGACTTCAATGTTGGAATAAACCTTTGCGTGGCTTTCTTAAAATTAATATTGATGGGAGTTTGAATAAATTTTTTTATTGGAATTGGTGGAGTGCATCAAAATTTTGAAGGAAAATGTATTTTATAGTTTTCTGCTTCTGCTTAGCTGTGTCTCCTATTTGTACTGAAGCTGAAGTCGTTATAGTTGCATTAACTTTAGTTGTTATTTGTGTTTGGCATTTGATTGATATTGAGATGGACTCTTTGAAACTTTGAAACTACTGTATTAAGAAAAAAGGGTATCCTTGAAGTCTTATTACTCAAATGAAAAAAAATATTTGCTCTCCTTAAGATTGCGCAGGTTAATGGGCTATTTACCTATCGAGAAGGAAACCAATGCGCAAATTGGGCTGCTAAGCATAGGTTGGAGAAACAAGACTTCATATTTTTATTTTGAGTTCCTCATGAGCTTTCTATTCTTGTTCATGGTGATTTTTTAGAATCTTCTTATACTCGATGTGATAGTATATTTTAGAATTTTTTGCGTGAGTTGTACTTAGTGACAGACGGTTTCTTAAGTTTTTATTTCTTTGCATGAGTGTAGATGGTTGGTGTGTAGTGAAACTATCGATCACAAAATCTGTAAAAAATTTATTATTGGAATAAATTTTTCTACGAAATTCCTTAAAAAACACTGCCCTTAAAAAAGTTAGTTCATGAAACTAATGAAACAAATATTAGGATAAGGTCTTGGAATATAGATACTCTCAATGGTAAATTAATGGAGTTAGTTGATATTATGATTCATAGAAAATTTAATATCTTTTGTATTCAAGAAACTAAATGAGTAGGAGAAAAGACTAAGGAGATTGATAATTTACATTTTAAACATTGGTATTCTGGTAAGAGTCACACTAAAAACGGTGTACGTGTAATTATAAATAAGAGTTTAAAAGATAATGTTGTAAATATTAATAGAGTTGGAGATAGAATTATAGCCCTTAAGATTATCATTGATACTATGATTTTTAATATTATAAGTGGTTACGCTCCCCAAGTAGGTTTAGATATATGGTCTAAAAATAAATTGAGGAATGATTTAGAAGACTTAATACAAATGATACCTCTTGAAGAAAGAATTTTTATTGGAGGAGTGTTGACCTCACTTTTGATTGTGGTCTAGTTTTTCTTCTTTAGTAGCCCAGGGTCTAGCCATAAGACTTTCCTATTGACTATTTCTAGAAAACTAGAAAAGGAACCCTCACCATTAGAAATTCTACCATCTTCTTTACTCAACTTGAAGCTCTACATATTGGTCCTAATCTCTAGCACTTAGTAGGTTTATGGGGGAGCCCAAGGAGAGTTCCCATAGGACTGCTTGACCTTAGGGTTGACCCTGAGTGTTGGTCTAGAACTAAGGTACTCACCTCACTCACAATCACTCACAAATACAAACCCAAAATTTCTTGACTTTGATCCCTTAATCATTTGGGAGACTCATGTAGATGGTCCCCTAAACCCAATGGCCCTAGGCTAGGGTTTAGCTAAGACCAGTACATAAATGACCCAAATGGGGTTTCCATTGGTCCATAGCTCATTTATGGTAGTTGGCACCCCAATTGTACAAAAAATACTCAACATTGGTCCATAGCTCATTTATGGTAGATGCGGGATATATAGATTTGAGTAGTTAAACTTGAAGATGAGAGGAAAATTAGAGAAAGAAAATGTGGATTGATAGATTACCAGGTTTCGATGGACGCCATCAGGCTTGATCATGAATAATATGCTTCAAATCAAAAGATTACAACTAACAAAGTTGTACCAAATAATAATAATAATAATAATAACATACATAGTTAGTAGAATAATCTGCGTCATTTTTATTTTAATAGAAGGTGCTTTAAAATGTTATCCGTTAAGCGCTTATTGCTTAGATTCAACAGCCATTTGGAATAATTTTATTTTTTATTTATATTTTAATTTTAAATAAAATATTTGCTTTATAATATGATGAATTTATTTAATAAAAAAATCTTGCTTTTGTCCTT